TCATTTCGAAGGAACGGTTGGTTCGAAGGAATTCGTAGAATAGTCTCACCATGAATTGAAGAGTATTGCCGCAGATTGAAAGCTGTTAGGTTGTGTTAAGTCCTTTGCTCACTGTCCTACGACTCTGATGAACTTGTGTCGTGTAATAGACATCGTCAGAGAACTCACGCTTTACGAAAACAGCAACAAATACAATAAGAGCCGAAGATAAGTGCGGCCCCCAGTAGTTACGCTCTCTTGTATATTTAAAATTCCGATCTTAATGAGGCATCCTACGATTTGGTTGGCTATTTCATGCCTAACATACATTTTTGTAAATTGAGTAGGTTGATGTATTCAAAGGAAGAGGTTGTAGAGACATCTGTTTCCTTGTCTAAATGATCAAACGTATGATCCTGTAGATTTTTTTAGTATTCAGTATTGCGTATTGTGTGTATATAGGTCGAACAGTGATAGCACAGCATATATTCTCGACATGTTAACCACTACGCCGCACCGCCACGAGTGCCCCTGCGTCGCAGGGCAGATGTAAACTTTCAGGAATAACAGGCATTTTTCTATATCACATTCTGCTATGGGATTGTCGATGATGCAAAGTTGTATTTGCTGTAGCACATTACTACATTACTTAATTTACATTTATACGCAGTCTTTCGAAACTACCAGTAGATCACATATATGAGATATATTCATCCTATTTTGTTAAGTTGAATAAGAGCGGAATGGGAAATGAGAAAATTCCTGGCCTTCCTTAAAATTCACTTCTACTCTGTGGCCCAAGGGCATTCGTGGCAGTAGCGCTTAGTAGTTAACATGCCGAGATTATATGTTGCGCCATCACGATTCGAATCTCGATAGAGTCCTAGTGAGACCTAGGCAAGATCGAAGCTGCAGTACAGTCTACCCTGGATTAGAATACCTTTTAAGAAGCAAGGCTATATAAAATGCAATGGAAACATAAGGTCTATTAATATCATTGTGGGGAAATTCAGCTACCATTCCTTCATCACCTTGAGCGAAATAAGGTGGATGGTATGATTGTAGTTTCTGAAATCTACTTGTAAACGAAAATAAGCCGCAAATAGTTCCTGCTCAATTTTCCACTTACATTCTCTCAATTAGGAATGTAGGTTTTATTTATTTCCGTAGGCTCCCTAATTTCGCACTTTAACAAAGATCACGTTATTTTTTTGGTTCTTTTGTGAATAGGTATATGATTTCTTTATTCCAATTATCATTGTCTTCATTATAGGTCATTGGTCTTAAGCACGTATTCATCCCTTATTATGCGAAGAGGTTCGATGTAAGGCATGTTTAAGACTCTACTTATTACTTTGCTATAATCAATTTTTATTGTTTTGAATTCGCGATCTCCCACTCTAGGGACATTCTTTCTTTTGTGCCTCTTAGTTAAGTTTACTAATATGTAATTTGTTAGATTATGCAGCTGAGCAGACATCAGGGTGCATTTATTAGCTATGAAAAAATTCCGTTGTTAAACCTATCAAATTAAGGCTACTTTAATTTTTGAGGACAGTAAAGCCTATTTTCGGACAATAAATACTATAATTAGTCTTGGTGATCCAAAATTTTATAATTAACTTTTTAGCCACCAGATATACAGAAGGCTTCGCTTTGTTACTGCGTTTTATTAGAACTCGCTTCCCGCAGCTTTGCTTAAAGTGGACTATATTTTCTCCGGATTCTTATTACACTAGTAACCATTGCACTGACCATTTTCAGTTAACCTCTTCTTGTACAAAAACACTATGAATTGTTTGAATACTATTTTAATAAATAAAGCCCTTTATAGAAGTTGTATGACCTTGTTTGCGCAATTTGGTCATATTTGTAGGAAGACTTGGAGGAACGCACCTAGTCCGAAGTCCATTGTATGCATAATAATGTCCAAAGTCGGACCGTGGACGTGGTAGTACAACTCTTCAAAGAGCCTTGTCTCTTTAATGAGTTGTAGTATGGTGCTAAGAATAGCAAGGCTCACTGACGATACCGACTACGATGCCGGCGAAACGTCTGGGAATGTACCACGTCCACGGTCCGACTTTGGAAATTATCATGCATACAATGAACTCCGGATTAGGTGCGTTCCTCTTAGTCTTCCTACCACTGTGGCCAAGTTGCGAAGACAAGGTCAAACAACTTTTAGACAACGAAATGAGACTGCGACCACACAAAAGGCCACACGATCTTGGTCTTCATACCTTCGATTAAGCCTTTTATCTTAATTAAATATTTTGGAACTGCATTGCGCGTGTAATTTTTATTCTATCTCAGGCCTTTGCGAATTTCAACACTCCACCAGGACTATCGATGGGTCCGCCAGGTCTGCCACCTTCCTCTCTTGAGGCATTTACTTCAGTTAGACCAACTAGACCCAATTCTTCTATCCCCAACCCTTTGACGACTTCTTCCACATCTTCGTTAGCTTCACTTTCTTCTCCAAACTCTGCATCTACCTCTGCTAATGTCTCTACTTCAAGCTCCGCTAATGTCGCCTATTCTTTTCCGTCCCCTCCTATTTCTACTGTTCCTGGTCCTCCTGCTTTGTCTGTTCCTACTCCTTCCACCCTATCAACATCTATGACACTCGTGCAAAACCCTCTTTTTCATCATGCCTCCATCTCATTACACGGTTCTACAGTTGACGATCTGCCAGCCACTTCTTTCTATGAAATAATTTGAACGCGTTTTTAGTCATTCTTTTCATATATATTTACCTCATAAACACAAGGGAATTTACACGTGTTTTCTATTCTTATGTATTTTTATTTATTTTCCTATCCCTCCTTTGTTTCTCCTTTTGTCTTTATTTAACTTCTTAATATATTTTACTCACTCTGAATGTTTTTATGTGCTTATGCCCAAGTTTCTTCATGTTTATAGACCAATCGCTTATATCTTTTTTCTATGGTTTGCACTCGTCTATTCGTCAAGCCTGCATTATTTCTATCTTTTTATTATATCACACGCCGGCTTCGGGACGACTCAAGTTGTATAAAGCCATTGAGTGGACACACCACATCTTGAGTTGCTTGATGGTTCGGCGTCGTCACTTGTGCAATATTTTACCATCGCTAATATTACTTTTATTAGTTGCTATAGTCTAATCTCTCTTTTGCAGTACTCTTCATTTAAATGCCCTTCTTCCCTATTCGCTTTTTCTTCCCTTTATTACTCAACTGCTTCATTATCTGCAGTTTGCTATCTCTGTGCCATGCTCCACTGCCTACATTTTAACCGGTCTTTCTACCTTATCACAGTCACTTCAGCTAGTTATTTTCTTGTCTATAGAGTCTCTGATAAGAAGTATATGCCTCAATTATCCATCCACTTTCTACCTCTTGGCTTCCCCACAAACTTTTTTCGTATACACTCGTA